ATTATTCGCAAATGGAAGAAACACAAAATAACTGTCAATCTCCCTCAGCCTGGGGCTCCATGCAAGATCTCACCTCGTGTAGTTGCAATGATCATGAGAATGGTGAGGAATCAGCCCAGAACTACACGGGAGGATCTTGTCAACGATCACAAGGCAGCTGGGACCATAGTCACCAAGAAAACAATTGGTAACACACTACGCCGTGAAGGACTGAAATCCTGCAGTGCCCGCAAGGTCCCCCTGCTCAAGAATGCACATATACAGTGGGGAGAAGAAGTATTTGATACACTGCCGATTTTGCAGGTTTTCCTACTTACAAAGCATGTAGAGGTCTGTCATTTTTATCATAGGTACACTTCAACTGTGAGAGACGGAATCTAAAACAAAAATCCAGTGTCACGAACGTCGATAGATGCGGACCAAGGCGCAGCGTGGTAAGCGTACATACTTTTATTTAAGTACACCACACGAACAAAACAACAAAACAAACGATACGTGAAGTCCTGGGTTGAACACAAACCTTCCGGAACAAGATCCCACAATGACTAGTGAAAACAGGCTGCCTAAGTATGGTTCCCAATCAGAGACAACGAGCTACAGCTGCCTCTGATTGGGAACCACCCTGGCCAACATAGATCTAAACGATCTAGAATGAGAACATAGAACAACTAACCATAGAAAATCCACACCCTGGCTCAACAATTAAGAGTCCCCAGAGCCAGGGCGTGACAGTACCCCCCCCCCCCCCCCCCCCCCCCCCCCCCCCCAAAGGCGCGGACTGCGACCACGCCAACCAAACACAAGAGGGTAGGAGCCGGGTGGGCATTCCGCCTCAGAGGCGGATCCGGCTCCGGGCGTGACCACCACTCTCTCTCTACCCCCCCATAGCGCCCCTGGTCTGGTCTGGCCCTGCTGGCCGGAGCTGGACTGGACATCGGTGGAGCGGATTGCTCTGGCTCCGGTGTGGAGCAGCTGACCGGTGCCGGACCAGGCACCGGTGGAACAGGCACGGACCGTGCCGGACTGACGACGCGCACCACTGGCTTGGTACGGGGAGCAGGAACGGGCCGGACCGGGCTGACGACGCGCACCACTGGCTTGGTGCGGGGAGCAGGAACGGGCCGGACCGGGCTGACGACGCGCACCACTGGCTTGGTGCGGGGAGCAGGAACGGGCCGGACCGGGCTGACGACACGCACCACTGGCTTGGTGAGGGGAGCAGGAACGGGCCGGACCGGGCTGGCGACGCGCACCACTGGCTTGGTGCGGGGAGCAGGAACGGGCCGGACCGGGCTGACGACGCGCACCACTGGCTTGGTGCAGGGAGCAGGAACAGGCCGGGCTGGACTGGGAACACGCACCATAGGCTTGGTGCGGGGAGCCGGAACGGACCGGGCTGGACTGGGAACACGCACCATAGGCTTGGTGCGGGGAGCCGGAACGGGCCGGGCCGGACTGTGGAGGCGGACTGGAGGTCTGGAGCGGAGAGCTGACACAACCCGTCCTGGCTGAATGCCTACTTCCACACAATATGTGCGAAGCATCAGCACAGGACGTACAGGGCTGTGTACTCGTACTGGCGTTACAGCACGTGGCACAGGCGCAGGATATACAGGACCGAGGAGGGGTACTGGAGGCCACGAGCGTTGAGCCGGCACACTCCGTCCTGGCTGCATGCCCACCTTAGCACGACACGTGCGTGGTGCTAGCACAGGACGTACAGGACTGTGCCGGAACACTCGCGGCACAGTACGTGGCTCCGCATAACACGGAGCCTGCCCAGTCTCACGCTTTCTAGCCTGAGTACGGGGAGTTGGCTCAGCTCTAACTCTAGGCTCCGCCAACCACCCTTTTAGCCCCCCCCCAAAAAAAAAATTATTGGGGCTGTCTCTCGGGCTTCCTCCTCGGCCGGTACCCTCTGCGTTGCCGCTGCTCCTCTTTGTAGCGCGCATCCACAGTCTCCTCCCAAGGACGGCGATCCATTCCGGCCTGAATCTCGTCCCAAGTCCAGGATCCCTTCCCGTCCAGGATCTCCTCCCAAGTCCAGGCTGTCTGTTCCTGGACACGCTGCTTGGTCCTCCTTTGGTGGGATCTTCTGTCACGATCGTTATAAACAGCGGACCAAGGCGCAGAGTGGTAAGCGTACATACTTTATTCAATTAACGTACTTGACACACGATCAAAACAAAACAACAAACCAAACGATACGTGAAGTCCTAGGTTAACACACCAAAAGAAACCTTACGGAACAAGATCCCACAAATAACTAGTGCCAACAGGCTGCCTAAGTATGGTTCTCAATCAGAGACAACGAGAATCAGCTGCCTCTGATTGGGAACCACCCTGGCCAACATAGAAAACACGAACTAGAACACAACATAGAAAATCACACATAGAAAATCCACACCCTGGCTCAACATATAAGAGTCCCCAGAGCCAGGGCGTGACATCCAGAAAATAACATTGTATGATTTTTAAGTAATTAATTTGCATTTTATTGCATGACATTAGTATTTGATCACCTACCACCCAGTAAGAATTCCGGCTCTCACAGACCTGTTAGTTTTTCTTTAAGAAGCCCTCCTGTTCTCCACTCATTACCTGTATTAACTGCACCTGTTTGAACTCGTTACCTGTATAAAAGACACCTGTCCACACACTCAATCAAACAGACTCCAACCTCTCCACATTGGCCAAGACCAGAGAGCTGTGTAAGGACATCAGGGATACAATTGTAGACCTGCACAAGGCTGGGATGGGCTACAGGACAATAGGCAAGCAGCTTGGTGAGAAGGCAACAACTGTTGGCGCAATTATTAGAAAATGGAAGAAGTTCAAGATGACGGTCAATCACCCTCGGTCTGGGGCTCCATGCAAGATCTCACCTCATGGGGCATTAATGATCATGAGGAAGGTGAGGGATCAGCCCAGAACTACATGGCAGGACCTGGTCAATGACCTGAAGAGAGCTGGGACCACAGTCTCAAAGAAAACCATTAGTAACACACTACGCCGTCATGGATTAAAATCCTGCAGCGCACGCAAGGTCCCCCTGCTCAAGCCAGCGCATGTCCAGGCCCGTCTGAAGTTTGCCAATGACCATCTGGATGATCCAGAGGAGGAATGGGAGAAGGTCATGTGGTCTGATGAGACAAAAATAGAGCTTTTTGGTCTAAACTCCACTCGCCGTGTTTGGAGGAAGAAGAAGGATGAGTACAACCCCAAGAACACCATCCCAACCGTGAAGCATGGAGGTGGAAACATCATTCTTTGGAGATGCTTTTCTGCAAAGGGGACAGGATGACTGTATTGAGGGGAGGATGGATGGGGCCATGTATCACGAGATCTTGGCCAACAACCTCCTTCCCTCAGTAAGAGCATTGAAGATGGGTCGTGGCTGGGTCTTCCAGCATGACAACGACCCGAAACACACAGCCAGGGCAACAAAGGAGTGGCTCCGTAAGAAGCATCTCAAGGTCCTGGAGTGGCCTAGCCAGTCTCCAGACCTGAACCCAATAGAAAATCTTTGGAGGGAGCTAAAAGTCCGTATTGCCCAACGACAGCCCCGAAACCTGAAGGATCTGGAGAAGTTCTGTATGGAGGAGTGGGCCAAAATCCCTGCTGCAGTGCGTGCAAACCTGGTCAAGACCCACAGGAAATGTATGATCTCTGTAATTGCAAACAAAGGTTTCTGTACCAAATATTAAGTTCTGCTTTTCTGATGTATCAAATACTTATGTCATGCAATAAAATGCTAATTAATTACTTAAAAATCATACGATGTGATTTTCTGGATTTTTGTTTTAGATTCCGTCTCTCACAGTTGAAGTGTACCTATGATAAAAAATTACAGACCTCTACATGCTTTGTAGGTAGGAAAACCTGCAAAATCGGCAGTGTATCAAATACTTGTTCTCCCCACTGTATATGCCCGTCTGAAGTTTGCCAATGAACATCTGAATGATTCAGAGAATAACTGGGTGAAAGTGTTGTGGTCAGATGAGACCAAAATGGAGCTCTTTGGCATCAACTCATCTCGCCGTGTTTGGAGGAGGAGGAATGCTGCCTATGACCCCAAGAACACCATCCCCACCGTCAAACATGGAGGTGGAAACATTATGCTTTGGGGGTGTTTTTCTGCTAAGGGGACAGGACAACTTCACCACATCAAAGGGACGATGGACGGGGCCATGTACCGTCAAATCTTGGGTGAGAACCTCCTTCCCTCAGCCAGGGCATTGAAAATGGGTCGTGGATGGGTATTCCAGCATGACAATGACCCAAAACACACGGCCAAAGCAACAAAGGAGTGGCTCAAGAAGAAGAACATTAAGGTCCTGGAGTGGCCTAGCCAGTCTCCAGACCTTAATACCATAGAAAATCTGTTGAGGGAGCTGAAGGTTTGAGTTGCCAAACGTCAATCTCAAAACCTTAATGACTTGAAGAATATCTGCAAAGAGGAGTGGGACAAAATCCCTCCTGAGATGTGTGCAAACCTGGTGGCCAACTACAAGAAACGTCTGACCTCTGTGATTGCCAACAAGGGTTTTGCCAACAAGGGTTTTGCCACCAAGTACTAAGTCATGTTTTGCAGAGGGGTCAAATATTTATTTCCCTCATTAAAATGCAAATCAATTCATAAAATATTTGACATGCGTTTTTCTGGATTTTTTTGTTGTTATTCTGTCTCTCACTGTTCAAATAAACCTACCATTAAAAATTATAGACTGATAATTTCTTTGTCAGTGGGCAAACGTACAAAATCAGCAGGGGATCAAATACTTTTTTCCCTCATTGTACAGCCCCAGGCCCAATGTTTAAAATCACGTAAAGCTATGATTATTTATCATTTTCTAAGAATAGGAGGGAACGGTCATTCTGTAAGCAAGGCATTTGTTTGGTTGTTTTTTGGTTTACATCCAGGTCTCTCAACGAGACTCACCTGGAATAAAGAAAGATTAAAAAATGAAAAATCTAAGATAGTTTTTCTGTTTCCACAGGAACTCCCCTCCCTCCACACCATGCAGCAGCTGGTGCTTATGCCAGCCTCTCACCACCTCTCATCGCCCTCCTCCTTCCTCCTCTCTCAGACACAACACACAGGGCACCAAGGTACACATGAACATCCAAATGAAAGGGTTGCAATATTACGTAAACCTTCCCAAAGTTCACAGGTTTTTCTAGATACAGTATACCAGTTTGAGGACTCAAAAAACCAGGAGAGAATAAGCAGGGAGGGAATCCTCCAACTGGGAATCCTTCAACCAGGGTTTCTGAAAAATCTGGGAAGTTTGGGAAAGTTACAATATCTATGATACTTCTCTAAACAAATTGTATCAATAACTGTTTTTTTCCCCGTGTAGCACTTCTGCAGCAGAACCTCCACAACTTTCCCACCCAGAGCCAGTCAGGTCTCCTGCAACACCAGCCTGGGTTAGCACTGACACCTCAGGTAAAAAATCACACCTCTTTCACCAGTTGACATTATTAGCTGTATGGAAGAGACAAAGAGATGTAAGTCAAGTGACCACATTTGCTGAGAAGATTAAAGGACAACAATACAGGTCATGCATCCGGATCCTTAAACTTGATAACCGAATTAACCGTTTACAGGACATACCATGAGAGGGATAAGGATTTACAGTATCATAGAACTTTCACTGACATCAGTCAGATATACACTGAGTGTACAAAATATTAAGAACACCTTCCTAATATTGAGTTCAGAGCCGGTCCTTGCCGTTCTGCCGCCCTAGGCGAGACCCCGCAAAACTAGAATAGTCCCAGTAAGCAAATTTACATTGAAAATACGTTTAAAATACGTATTTTCCAGACGGTGAAGTTAGGTTCAATTTAGGTTCTCAATGAAAGGTGAAAATACGTATTTTCCGCACGTTTAAAATACATATTTTACAGGAAGTTGAAAAGGCATCTTTTCCGGATGTTGAAAAATACGTATTTTCCGGACGTTGAAATCATGTTCATTTTCAGTTCTGAATGAAAGTTGAAAATACTTATTTTCCGGTTGTTGAAAATACGCATTTTCCAGATGTTGAAAATATGTCTTTTTCGGATGTTGAAATCAAGCTAATTTTTGGTTCTGAATAAAAGTTGAAAAGTCGTCATTTATAGACATCTATGTTTGGGCCAAATCAAGGCTGGTCCAGACAGGACAAAATCTGAACCAAACATAGATGTCTATGATTGGTCAGATTTGGTCCAGACCGGACAAAAGACCAATGTCCGTGGATGTGGAAATAAAGGCCGGTCCGGACTGCACCAAAAAAAGATGCCAAAAAGGAGTCGGCTTCGGTCCGTGCTTACTGAGGTGTAGCCTACAGTGTTGCCTGAAATTGAATTTTATGAATGCCCATCTATGTGGTAAGCCTACCGTTTGTAAAAAAAACACAAAAAAATGATGTCAGGTCTGGACAGGACCAAGAAAAGACGTTGGCTCGTGCTTACTGGGATGTAGACTACCATGTCTGCCCGCAATGGAATTTTATGAATGCCCATCCATGTGATAGGCCCACCATTTGTAAAACAGGTCGTTGCATTGGCTTTATTATTCCTGATTCCTGTGACTAATCAATTTGGCTATTTAAGCTCTGAATATCAGCTACTCAACTTTATCAGGAGTTATGGTGAGCCTATTTGCAATGTGTTCTTTTTCGCTATGATCAGCTTGTTAAAAATTTACGGATACAAACTTGAAACAACTGATCATGAAAATGATGTGAAAGTCCTGTACTTCATTTGTGATTGTCCATATTTTCCATTTTACTTTGTCCTGTCCTAGTTTTGGGATATGTTGTTTGTTAACATGACAGTGCATTTTTTATTTGATTGGGTGCCATTTAGGTTAGGCTATTTGATCGGAGAAACCTGCATGATGTAAAAAGTGTCAGTCTCATTACATTGTCATACATTTTATCTCCAGCCTGTAGGCTACAGAAAAGGCCACATACTCGTTCTACCATATCCTATACGTGCTACATGATTTATGTTACATGATTTTATTGACAGAACGTTGGTGGAGTGCCGCAGTGATGTGTCTCTCCAACAGCACCCTGGAGAGGCGCGCTGTGAATGGACAAGCAAAATATTTTGCGCCCCTGCCTTTGACAGTGGGCACTGCTTATCACATGGCGGCATCAACGCTCACCAAAAAGCCCTTATGCCGCTGGTTGAGAGAAATAGCCATTGATTGGGGACAAAATTAGGCCTATGTGAGGTTTTATGTGTTGTTGGAGGTGCGTCTTGGTCAGTTTAACTTTGAAAATGCCGCCCTCGTCAATCTGCCGCCATAGGCGGACACCTAATCCTGCCTAATGAGCGAGCCGGCCGTGAATAAGTTGCCCCCCACACCCCTTTTGCCCTTAGAATAGCCTCAATTAGTCAGGGCATGGACTCTATAAGGTGTCGAAAGCGTTCCACAGGGATGCTGGCCCATGTTGACTCCAATGCTTCCCACATTTGTGTCAAGTTGGCTGGATGTCATTTTGGGTGGTGGACCATTCTTGATACACACGGGAAACTGTTGAGTGTGAAAAACCCAGCAGCATTGCAGTTCTTGACACAATCAAACCTGTGCGCCTGGCACCTACTACCATAACCCGTTCAAAGGCACTTAAATATTTTGTCTTGCCCATTCACCCTCTGAATGGCACACATACACAATCTATGTCTCAAATGTCTCAAGGATAAAAAATCCTTCTTTAACCTGTCTCCTCCCCTTCATCTACACTGATTGAAGTGGATTTAAAAGGTTACAACAATAAGGGATCATAGCTTTCACCTGGATTCACCTGGTCAGTCTATGTCATGGAAAGAGCAGGTGTTCTTAATGTTTTGTAAACTCAGTGTATTAATGAGGAAAAATGAAGAGAACATTTGCATAACACAATAACATGTTCAATTTCCGTATGAACAAGGTTTCTAACACTGCTATAATTTTCACACTTTTTATCATCCATTTAACCATATTTCTCCTCACCACTGTGTTCCTTAAAGGCCATGAGTCGGTCGGGCCTGACGTCGTCGGTCATGGAAGGACACCTGGACATGTCCCACCTGCAGGTCCCCAAACACATCGGGGCCCCCCAGCAGGACGATCCCAGTGACCTAGAGCAGCTGGAACAGTTTGCCAAGGCCTTCAAACAGAGACGCATCAAACTGGGCTTCACCCAGGTACAGACTGAGGGCCACCGGCTCAAAATACAATACAGCTTTATTTGTCTTTTTGCTGTTTTGTTTTTTCCCTAACCCCTGGATACCACACATACCGGCAGTGCCGTTTCTAGGCATTAGTGAAATAAGCAGCCTCTTAGGGCCCCGCAGCCGAACCCCCAAAAAATTCAATAAAGATAGTTTTATTTTTATTTTTAGGAAGTCAGTGGGGGTCTCAACTTATTGTTAGTTAGGATAGTAGAATACACAACGTGCAATTTCGAAATTTGGTAGTGCATCAGCAGTTTTCCTCTTGTTATGTCAGTCACTGACAGTCACTCAATAAATCCTTGTCAGCTAACATTTGATAGATTGCTAGGTAAGTTAGTCTAGCAATCAAATCTCGCTTAGGGCCCCCAAAATGCTAGAAACGGCCCTGCATACCAGTACACTAACACAGGTGGCTAGAAGCCACAGAACAGCACCCCTGGAGCAGGTTAGGGGTTAAATGTCTTGCTCAAGGGCACAATGGCAATATGCAGCACCTGAGGAAGGCCCTCAAAATTGTCAAAGACTCCAGCCACCCTAGTCATAGACTGTTCTCTCTGCTACCGCACGGCAAGCGGTACCGGAGCGCCAAGTCTAGGTCCAAAAGGCTTCTCAACAGCTTCTACCCCCAAGCCATAAGACTCCTGAACAGCTAATCATTGCTACCCGGACTATTTGCACTGCCCCCCCACCCCCACCCCCCTCTTTTACGCTGCTGCTACTCTGTTTATTATCTATGCATAGTCACTTTAACTCTACCCAGATGTACATATTACCTCAATTACCTAGACTAGCCGGTGCCCCCGCACATTGACTCTGTACCAGTACCCCCTGAATATAGCCTCCCTACTGTTATTTTATTTTACTGCTGCTCTTTAGTTATTTGCTTTTATTTTTTTACTTAACACTTTTTTTTAAACACTTCTTTAAAAAATGCATTGTTGGTTAAGGGCTTGTAAGTAAGCATTTCACTGTAATGTCTACACCTGTTGTATTCGGCGCATGTGGCAAATACAATTTGATTTGATTTGATATTCCGATTCTCACTCCCACCAGATATTTTCCTGTCAGCCCTGGGATTTGAAGCTACTGCCTCACTCTGATTACTGATATGCCACCTAACCTCTGTACTTGGTGTACCTGCTCACTTTGAAATAATCAACTATTGAAACACACACAGTTCAAAGACAGTACTGAAGTGACTTACGTTTTCTGTAGTCAAAATACTTAAAGGAGATCAATAACATTATTATTTGAAGGTTTGCCGTAATCAGATTCAAATATATCCTGTCTGTGTGTGTGTGTGTGTGTGTGTGTGTGTGTGTGTGTGTGTGTGTGTGTGTGTGTGTGTGTGCGTGTGTGTTCCAGGGTGATGTAGGCCTGGCTATGGGGAAGCTGTATGGGAATGACTTCAGCCAGACTACCATCTCCCGCTTCGAGGCACTCAACCTGAGCTTCAAGAACATGTGCAAGTTGAAGCCGCTACTGGAGAAGTGGCTGAGCGACGCAGGTATTATAGTGTATAACAATATATTTTGTAGATGTCTTTACACACTTGTACAGTATATTTCTACGTCAAGAGGATATTTATTTAATTGTATTGGCTAGAAATTCCTTTTAGATAAAATGTATGTTGGTAAATCATGTTCACTATCTCTTTCCACATCAGAGAATTCTCCCTCTGACTCTATGGCCAACGTTGCCTCTCTACCACCCCTGATCGAAGGCTATGGAAGGAAAAGGAAAAAGAGAACAAGCATTGAAACCAACATCAAGCTCACCCTGGAGAAACGCTTCCTTAACGTGAGTTAACTCTGTCCATCACCTAATGTTGTCCCCTGCACTTCCAACCATAAATACATAATTTAGGAACTGTTGATATAAGTCGTATTTGGGTGTTAAGGAGCGCGGTTTGGGGGATCATGTTTCGAAGGAGGTATGACTCGACCTTTGCCTCTCCTGAGTCTGTTGGGGAGTTGCAGCGATGAGAGAAGATCGTAATTGGATCGTAATTGGATTTCACGAAATTGGGTAGAAAAAAATAAAATGCTTTTCCATGCAGGGAGCAAAACAATTCTCCATCATGCACATTGTTGTGACACTTGAGTGACTACATAGCAGCCATTTTTAGTTAGTTGCAATGGTGATACATATGATATGGCTTATTTTAAGACATTATAGAAGCTCATGCATGCTTATAATAAGTAATAAGCATTATACCTGCAGGCTTTATAGTTAGCTACCAAGGTTTATTTTCAGAACGCCAAGCCCAACTCAGAGAAGATCACAATGATCTCAGAGCAGCTACATATTATATGCCCTATTATAAGACATTATAAAGGTTCATTCATGCTTATAGCACCTACAGTAATACCAATATACAAATGTTTCTATTCAGAACCCCAAGCCTAACTCAGAGGAGATCATGCTGATCTCAGAGCAGCTGTCTATGGAGAAGGAGGTGGTGCGTGTGTGGTTCTGTAACCGCAGACAGAAGGAGAAGAGGATCTACTGCCCCATGTCCACCTCACCAATGAAACCACATAACTTCCACTCCAGAATGGTTAGCCTTAAATCTCTCAGTTATAATGTTTTGGGGAAATGTTGTATGTTTTTTTCCTGATGTTAAAGTGGCCAGCTCTGAATATGTACAGTAGCTCTATATTTTCAAGTCAGTTTGAAAGCCTATACACTCTGCCAAAACACTACACAGTTACAGTCACACACCCTTCTAGATAACTTGAAACAGTCTAACCAGGTCTTGTGTCTTTAGGTAGCATAGGCTAGCTAGTGCTTTCGCCAATTTGCTTCAGGCGGCTGTTGTGCGACTGTGGCAAAGTCGATTTTAGTTAGGGACCGTCAATAAATTACACAATGTAAATGCTTTCAATATTTTTATATGAATTTCTACAGTTAATATTTGGTTTGAGGTTTTTAAGTCATTGAAATTCAGAGCTATTGACCTTTTAAAATATTGTCTCATGTACATTGTGTAATTTACTGATGGTCCCTAACAAGCCCCATAGGGATATCATGGGCATTATGATTGGGTCACGTGCAGCTGCACTCCAAATTGATGATTACTTGGATGCTTCCAGCTGTGGGCATGTGGGCAGGGTTGAAATAAACCCAACCCAATGAAAACTGTTACGGTACCCATCATTCCGTGACATTCCATTTGTTCCTATAATCTCGCAAATATCAGTTTTGGATGAGACTGACTTGATGACCAAAATCGTAATATTTACACTTTGTAGTCAATTTTGACACTAGAATAAATGTTTCTGAATCCTATTGATAGCACATAGGCCGTTTTCAAAACAATACGTTTTGGTATATTAAAAGATTTGTGTAATAAAAGAGTAGTGTAATAGTAAAGCATTATGTGCACTACAACATTTTCAGTACATTGTCTTGTGGTTTTTTTCACTAGCCTTTATGTAACACCCTGTTTCAGGCCTCCACATCCAGATCATACAGCCCTTTTGCTTCAGGAGGAGGCAAGTGTAACCATATGTACTTCATATAATCTGTATTTAAGACTACTTCATATACAGTGGGGTCCGAAATTATTGACACCCTTGATAAAGATTAGCAATAATGATTGTATCAAATAAATAATTTGAATGCTATATTGTATGCTCCAACAAATGAAGAGATTATATTATTTTATACTAATACAATTTCTCAGAGAAAGAGCTTTTGTTTAACAAGTAACACTTTTTTCTCAAAAAGGTAGGGGTGAAAACGATTGACACCCCTAAAGATTGTTGTAAATAAAGTTTATTATTTGGTCCCATATTCCTAGAACGCAACGATTACATCAAGTGAGAAAGTTCATACCCCCAAGACATGCTAACCTCTCACCATGACCAATGACAGGGGAGGCTAGCATGTCTTGAGGGTAAGAACTTTGACTCTCTAACTTTTTCACTCTCCATGATTAACCTCTTAAGGATCGAACCCTTTTTTTCAATTTTCGCCTAAAATGACATACCCAAGTCTAACTGCCTGTAGCTCAGGACCTGAAAGGAAACACTTTGAAGTTTGTGGAAATGTGAATTAATGTAGGAGAATATAACATATTAGATCTGGTAAAAGATAATACAAACAAAAAAACATGCGTTTTCTATTTATTTTTTTGTTCCATCGTCTTTGAAATGCAAGAGAAAGGCCACAATATAATATTGCAGTTTAGGTGCAATTTAGATTTTGGCTATTAGATGGCAGCAGTGTGTGCAAAGTTTCAGATTGATCCAGTGTAGCATGTCAATACTGGACTATTTTGTATCAAGTCTGCCCAAATATGCCCAATTGGTCAATTGATAAATTTTCAACTACATAACTATAGAGAACATACACAAATTATATGGTAATACAAAATGTAAGTTTACACACTCCCGGGAATGTCATACATGATGGATCATTAGCTTATACACTAACTTTCACACATCTAGATGGCCGGGCGGGGTGGGTGTGGAGCCAGAGACAGCAGGGGTTCAAACTGTAGAAGCCAGTGCCTACATTTGAATATAAAAATGGATTTTATCAAACAAAACTATGCTACATTTTATCTCTGGGACCCTTAGGATGACAAATCAGAGCAAGATTACTGAATGTAAGTACATTATTTACCTTCAGAGGTGAATGTATCAAACCAGTTGCCGTGATACGTTTTTTGTTGATGTGCACTCTCCTCAAACAATAGCATGGTATTTTTTCACTGTAATATCTACTGTAAATTGGACAGTGCAGTTAGATTAACAAGAATTTAAGCTTTCTGCCCATATAAGACATGTCTGTGTCCTGGAAAGTTTGTTGATACTTACAACTGTCATGCTAATCACATTAGTGCACGTTAGCTCAACCATCCTGTATACGGGACACCGATCCCGTAGAGGTTAATGATTAATTTAGGATTATCCATACTCATGGTAGCATCCACATTAATGTATAAGTGTTTAAAAACATATCATATTCTTATTTACAATAAAAGTGACTCCAAAATGACATAATACATTATTTACCATTCATATTTATTGGGTACAAAATCATCTGAAACACAACCAAAACGAACTGCAAATGCATCCAACAAGTTTTTAGAGTCACAAGCTTGATGTAGTCATTGCGTGATAGGAATATGGAACCAAATACTACACTTTTGACTACTTTATTTACAAGAATCATTATGGGTGTCAAGATTTTTTTAAATAACTTGTTAAACAAAATCTCTTTCTCTGAGCAATTGTATTAGTATAAATGTTTTTTAGCATACAATATAGCTCAGTATTTGAATAATATATTTTATACAGTCATTATTGCTCATCTTTATCAAGGGTGTCAATAATTTTGGACCCCACTGTAGTCTGTAGTACTTAAGACCTGTATTTAATAAAAAGTGAAGGGCATAGATACATTTGTGTGAAATCCACACTGTCTGAAAAATCAAACCTATAAAACCTTCATCCATACGAAACGCACTGTATGAAGTCTCAAGCTTTCTCGTGAAGTGAGTGTGCATGTTAAATTGAGTGTATTCATTTGTGCTCTAGTGTCATCGAGTTCCTCTCCTAATAGTCCTAGTCGTGGGCCGTCGCCCGGCACACTCTCGTCTGGCTCCACTGCTCTGACCTCCCAGGTCAACCAATCCTTCAGCTCACCAGGGTAAGGGACTCACCCCCCACCACAGCCAAGCACATCTGAACAAATTCCACCCCAATACCTACAGTATATAGTGCACTACTTTTGACTAGAGCCCTATGGCCTGGTCAAAGGTAGGGAATAGGGTGCCATTTGAGAGACACCCAGAAGATGAGTCTAATGCTGTAATGGCAACATGGCATTGTACAGATGAGCGATGAACCTGTTATGTTTGTGTTTCAGGTCGTGGTATCACACATGGAACCCTATGCCCTATCACCACTGAGAAATCCTGCCTGTTGTGGAAGAGAACTAAAACTACCGATGTCAATGAAGGGAAACAGAAATGGATACAAACCATCAGACACACATAATGTCAAATGTCATATGCAATATTTGGTCCCGCTTTAAATTATGTTCAAATTATAAACACTTCATAATGCCTTCATAAGCACTACATACATGAGTTACAAAGCATCTATAACCGTATGTCATGGTTTATAAAGGGTTCATAAATGTGTCCTAACTGTGTGACATAATCACCGATGTCAAATGTGACATAACCCACTATGTCGAATATGATATAAACATGTGCTTTATAAAGGGTGACATGTTGTGCTGAAGGATGGCATACGCTCTAAAGTGATGTCATGTTAGTCACATTACTCCTAATCTCAGACACTTCTGCCCAAATGCGCGGAAATTCTGGTGGACCAACGCATCAAACTTGGCCTTTTTAGTTAGGGTTAGGTTTCAAATCAAATTCTAAGAAGATACGTTGTGGAAATAGGCAGAGTTTAGCAATAATTATGACTTTTTGACTGTGTTAAGTAGTGAAAATGACAAATACTTTACTCAGTAAGGTCACTCCTATAGAATTCTATGGTCACTCCCACTAAGGCCAACTTTGAATGGTTGATATCCCAGGCTTATATGTGCTGTGTGTGCAATAGCCTGGGGACGACGTTACACCAAGAAACACTTACCTTGATGAAAGCCCCCAACCTAAAGAAATTGAAAGTGTCTTTCTTCTGGAACCAAGTTACACGTTCCTCAGTACACAAACACGCACACAACAAAAACTAGCCATACCGTGCAGTACTGGGCCCAGCCAGGTCTTTGACACATTCACCCACTCCCCGCTGAAATATCAGCCACAAAATGTTTCCATTATTGTAACAGGTTGTAATCAAGCCCTGGTCTCCAGCATGGGAACAGAATATGAATACCTGGTGCAGTAGTCTCAGGTTGGACTACTCCAAATCATCTTGGTTCTGACACACTCACACACACACACGCACACAAATGCAAGTTTTGCAGGTCCATCAACCTATTTAAATACCTCTCACACCCGACAGTAACCTGTGGATCATGAGAGAACCTTCATAAAGAAGAACATTAATAACCTATTTATTGACACTTTATGTAGTGTCCTGTAATACTTAGTTTGAAGTGAGACACCTTCGGACATTCATAACACATCCATAAAGACTCTATATCTCATGACGCTGTACTTAATTTAAAGTCAGACCCCTTTGGTCATTCATAACACATACATAAAGGCTTAATGATGTAAACGCAAACGTATTAACACTTAGAGAATTATTACTAACAGCTAAAACAACTAAACATTAAAGACATGTTTAAACCATACATTTCCTTTTATTTGTAAATGTTTAAAACAATACAAATACATAAAGTTTCAAAAAGTCCAGCAACGCAATTGCATTGAACATTACACAGGACTGTGAATAGTGTAGCTTGTCCCTGAGCTGGCGGACGAATGGTTCTTGCCTCTCTTCCTGCTGGAGGTACTGCATGTTGGTTCCAACCTTAAAGTAACAACAAAGAAAGTTAGCAGGTCTGTTAGGAAATGCCTTTGTCACACCATCTAGATAAGGGCATTTCTGTGCTGTGCCAGAA